ACGTACGTACGTACGTACGTACGTACGTACGTACGTACGTACGTACCTACCGTACCTACCTACCTACCTACCTCCGTACCTCCTACGTACTACGTCGTCTCTCTCTCTCTCTCTCTCTCTCTCTCTCTCTCTCTCTCTCTCTCTCTCTCTCTCTCTCTCTCTCATTTCAGGTTCCTTTCCTTTCTTCCTGGTTATCTCTCTCTCTCTCTCTCTCTCTCTCATTTCAGGTTCCTTTCCTTTCTTCCTGGTTATCTCTCTCTCTCATTTCAGGTTCCTTTCCTTTCTTCCTGGTTATCTCTCTCTAATATTTTGGCATGGGAAACTGTGTGGGTAGCTGCTTTCATGGAGAGACAGAGAGAGCAGAAATCATAAAAGTGATTAGGGAAGAAGATGCAAAGGTCTTGGTATACAGACCTCCAATAATGGTGAAGGATATCCTCCTCCAACACCCTAACTGTGAGGTCATGGTTCATGATATGGAACCACAAAAAGAGCCCACAAAGCCATTGGACAGTGACCACATGATGAGCCCCAATGTTGTGTACCATTTGGTTCAGAAGGAAGAGGAAGAGGAAAAGAGCAAATTTTCACCCAAAAGATTGGGTGGAGAGAAGGGCGTTTTGAAGGTCAAAATTGTGCTCACAAAGCAAGAATTGGCGCAACTTCTGTCAAAGTGTGGAGAGAAGGGAGGTTCAGTAGAGGACATATTGGAGGAGATCAAGAGATTGAGTATTGGTAAAGAGACAGCTTCCTATGTGACGCAGTCTAATGAGATGTGGAGGCCTACTTTGGATAGTATACCTGAGGAGCTACCATTGTGATGGGTTAAAATTTAGGGCTAACAGTTTAGAAGAAGATCCCCTCTGGATACAGGAGAGATTGTAGGCCATTTTCTTTCAAAAACATTAAGAGATGATTGAAGATCCTTCTGTTGAATGGAGGAGAGATTGTAGGCCACATGAAGAGACGATTGTAATTTGTTGGCTCTCTTTAGAAACATGTACACATAACATACTTCAAGAACTTCTTTGAGTAAGAGTGACTTTCTTTATCTTCATGGGGGTTCATGTGTGTATGTGTGTGTGTGTGAGAAAGAGAGAGAGAGAGATTAACTGAGCCTATTATAAAAAGCTGTTGGTTATTCTCCACCATTCATCAATGTGAATGAACAGTGCCTTTGGGGTGGACTATTATACCATACACCTTGGTTTATGGTGTCTCCCACATATAACTCTTTTTTTCCAAAATGTTATATTTTAAATTAGGAAAAAGTTTATGTACAGATGAGGCTCTAAACCATCCAATTAGAGCGTACCTAAAAAATTCCAGTAGAAGAGGTTGTTTTGATGCTCAAATATTCTCAAATTGATCATCTCGACATCAAGACGCACGGATATGAGAAAAAAAATAGATTTCAAGTTCTGGAAATAGTGCATCTTGTAATGCATTTTTTAACCGTCAATTTTCAAGGTTTTCAAGTTTTCATATATTTGCTCGATCTACACTGTTTTTTAAGCTTTAAATTTTATAATTAGATATGAAAATATATTTTACGGCTATCACCAATATTTCCAATATGAAAACCACATTTCTCGACACTATTTCAATGTGCACTCTACTTTGATTGTTTAGAGCTTCGGCTCTACACAAACTGCACCCTTTAAATTAGGAAAAAGTTTATATAGAGCCGAGGCTCTAAACAATCGAATTTAAGCCCCCTCCAAAATTTCACTAGAAAAAGTCGTTTTCATGACCAAATGTCCTCAAATTGATCATCTCGACATCAAGATACATGGATATGAGAAAAAAAATGGATTTCAAGTTCTAGAAATAGTACAATCTTGTAATATATTTTGGAGCGTCAATTACTAATATTTTTAAGGCTTCAGAGATCTGCTCAATCTATACTATTTTTTAAGCTTTAAATTTTATAATTAAAGATAAAAATACATTCTAAGGGTATCACAAAGATTTCCAGTGTTGAAATCACATTTTTCGATACTATTTGAAGGCTTGCTCTACTTTGATTGTTTAGAGCCTCAGCTCTATACAAACTGCACCCTTAAATTATTATTTTTATTTTTTACATTTCTTTAAATCCGATCCAACCGAGTCTGAACAACACTGAAATTGATTTTCATTAAACAATAACCCTCATCGGTTGGGAGGTCAATCCGATCCTGGTAACTGTGGTTCACATGTTGTGTACTGGTGCATATAACATGCGGCGCACGGACACAATGTCTACTGTTCATCCTCATCAATAGATGGCACTTATGAGCCGTTATTGCTGCTCATGCATCCCATAATGGAAAAAACCAGCGTTTTAAAAAACGCCGAGTCAAACCGGACTCGCCCGGTTTGACTCGGAATTCGCGAAAAGGGACCGGATCGGTTGAAAAATCGGAAATCGTCCGGTTCTAGAGAGAGCCAGACGATTCCCCACAGTGACTCGCCGATTCACTGTACGGAATCAGCGAGTCCGAACAGTGAATCGACGAGTCCGTACAGATTTTTTTTATTTTTTTATTTTTTTTAAATTTTTTTTATTTTTTTTATTTTTTTTATTTTTTTTTATTTTTTTTGTAATCCATGATAGATTTTTTTGTAATACTTGATCGATTTTTTTATAATCCATGATCGAATTGTTTTTGTTTTTTTGTAATCCATGATCGAATTTTTTGGTTTTTTGTAACCCATAATAGAATTTTTTGTAATCCATGATCGAAATGTTTGTTTTCTTTTCTTGTAATCCATGATCGCTTTTTTTGTTTTTTTTTGTTTTTTGTAACCCATGATAGAATTTTTTGTAATCCATGATCGAATGTTTTGTAATACATGATCGAAATGTTTGTTTTTTTTTTGTAATCCATGATAGAAATGTTTGTTTTTTTTTTGTAATCCATGATTGAATTTTTTGTTTTTTGCTTTTTTTGTAACCCATGATAGAGTTTTTTGTAATCCATGATTGAATTTTTTGTAATCCATAATCGAACTGTTTTTTTCTTTTTTGGTAATCCACGATTGAATTTTTTGTTTTTTTTGTTTGTTTTTTTTTGTAATCCATGATCGAATTTTATGTAATCCATGATGGAATTTTATGTAATCCATGATTGAATTTTTTGAAAATTTGTGATTTTTTTTTTTAATCCATGATCGAATTTTTTTTGTAATCCATGATAGAATTTTTTGAAAATTTATGATTTTTTTTTAATCCATGATCGATTTTTTTGAAAATTTGTTATTATTTTTTTTTAATCCATATTATTCAAAGAGAAAATGAGAGAGATGATGATTCTGAGGCCACCTTATCCCAGCCATATT